TTATCAAAAAAATCAACATTCATATCCCAATTTGTGGTTGCGCGAGTGTTAGACTTTTTCCCTTCAAATGGTAAGTGTAAATATGTCGGACTGTGAATAATTCAGTTTTTTTATATATAAGTTTCGTTGGAAATCGCCTATTTTTAAGGAGTATGATTATTAAAATAGTGTTTAATAAAATATAATAGCATTTGCTAATTCAAATAAGAAATTGGTAATTTCAAACTGATCAACTGTCAAGAAAGTTTCATGAATGTGCTCATATAAAATAATGTTGGAAGGCAATGATTCAAATTCATTCTAGAGAAATTACATATTATGTCTTCAAACTGAAAAATGCATGATGGTTTTTTATTGAATCCTGTTTCAGCTTCAGAACTGACAAGTTGATTTTGACGAAAAACTGTGTCGCCCTGAAAGTTGGCGTGTTTCACGATTGTTTCACAATCTCTACAGGGTGGCATTTGGAAAATGGAGTCTTGTGGAATAAACTTTCAGAGATCGAAAAATAATAAGGATATACCTGAAGTACTTATGTATCTCCTTGAAAAAAATTAAACGTTGAATCTTACTGTTTATACCATTTCATCATTGTTAAAATATTAATTATATTCTTGGCATTCAAAACTATGAAAATTTCAAATGTTTGCTCATTTTGAGCAAATAAAGTTTGAATTGAATGAAGTAACTAGTGACCGCTGAAGTTTTTTAATATCAGTTGCTGATAACTGAAGATGTGTTTATAACAAGACCTTTGACATGTATAATTGAGATTATTCTTATGTGATTAAGATACCAGTAAAAAATTGCGAGAAAGCCGATGAAAAGAGCATGATGCCCTCTGTGATGCAATAGTGCTTGCTAATAACATATAGAAGTGAAGTATACAGGGTGTTGAAGTTACAGACGAATCCAATAAGCCTGAAAGCAATAATTGTAAACAGTCCCCACAGGAATAATACATGCAACGTTTGGTTAAAAGATTCAAACGCTTACTGAAAAGAAAAACCTTGTAAATTCTACAGATATACCTATCGTCACAAATTTAACAAATATATCTAAGAATTTACATCATCATGAAAAATGAGAAATGAAACTTTCCACAGTTACTGTCGTTACTGCAGTTTCGTCCTACATGGACGTTTTCAAACTAACTTGATAAAACTGAAAATAAATAATAATGTTAGCTCTTATATAACTAAACACCACTGTTGGTAATAACAACGGCACTTAACTCAATTGAGTACCTAAATTTTGTTTACATGTGACAATGTGGATACACTAATATGAAAACCGGTGAGTAAACTATATTGATTTAGCAGGTTACATCCGCATTTTACATCCACAAGTAAACAAAAAATTCAGGTACTCAATTGATTTAAATACCACTGTTATTACCTACAGTGATGTTTAGTTGAAGTACATTCACTATACTAGCGTTATATAATGTCCTTACTGCGATATTGAACTCACTGAGCAATAAAGACGAAACGATAGCAGTAATTATAGATCTGTCCAAGGCATTCGATAGGATAGACCACACTACACTCACTAAAAAAACTTGAATATTTTGGAATGAGAGGAGTGTCCTTGAAACTCTTACATAACAAATAGATTCCAATAGCTAACAGAAATGAATGAATGAATGAATGAAAATGGCGAAGAAATCAAATCCGAAAAGGAAAAAATAAAAGTGGGGGTTCCACAAGGCTCCATACTTGGACCATTAATGTTTATTTTGTATGCCAATAACTTGGCTAATATAGTTGACGGAAAAAGTATCCAATTTGCGGATGACACTTCTTTAATATTCAGCGATGTAACTGGGAGTGATATAAAAAACAACATATCGAATTTTGTAAACATACTAAAAAAACTAGTTTGAAATGAATAACATGCAAATGAATATTAATAAAACTCAACTCATGAAGTTTTGTAATGCGCAACAAAATGGCACTTTTTCACTACTCCATGATGGAGACGAAATTACAGCTGCTCATTATGTAAAATTATTAGGAATCACAATAGATCCTAGACTGGATTGGAAAAAACATGTTGACCAACTAGCACAAAATATGGCAGGATACTGCTATGCACTTGAGGTATTGGCTCAAACAATCTTCCAAATATATCTTCTTTATCCTTCAATCATAAAATAAAAAAAAATTAAATACAGGCTTCGAAGTCGATTTCCTTGGAACAAGAAGAAATTGTGGAATTTATTTTCTACAACTCACGGTGGGATATAACTGTGTCAAATATATTTTCCAAGTTTTTTGGCCGCGATCTGCAGGTATGCCTGACATTTCGTCTACTTCTGCAGTAGATATTATTTAAGAAGATGTAGTAACAGTCGAAGTGCTCGACTTGTTCTCAACGCAGAAACTATACATATTCCACTTATTTTTCAAATATACTATCTCGGTACTTCATGACATAAATACTATCTATGATAANAATCCTATTACTGGACTAAGGTAGAACAAAGTTGAATACACTATTGTGTATTCAACTTGGTCTCACTTCAGTCTATTCGATCTGAGGAGGACAAATTGGTCAGGTTCTTGGATAAACCAAGATCCTCAATGTATCAGATCTCGTGCATCCGTTTCTGTAGTCTCAGAAAAAAATTGATCTGTTTAGCTTTTATGAAGGTTTTCGGATGAACAATTTACCTTGCTAAAAATTTGGAAATCAAGAATGCCAATTGATTTAAAATCATCTGAATGGATGGTTTGATGAACTCTCTAGGTTTGTTCTGGTTCTACCAAATTTAGGTTCTAGCACGTCAGAATCATGCGCAGTTGATATAGGGCGTTCTGGTTTGTTAAGCATAAGTTCGGATTTGTGAATCCTCTGTTCTGGTTTCGACTGCGAAATGATCCTAAACTGTCTTGAACCGTCCCGAATCGTTCTTGCGCTCGAGTCTGAACTGTTGAGAACTGTTCCCGTTGCTCATGCGCATTCATGTGGAACTTTGTTTGGGCTATTTTGTAGGATGTTTTTTTATTTATTTGATTTATTTTGACAAACTCCAACATTGTAGATTCTGCGTTGAGAACAACTCGAATACTTCAAAGGTTGCCTTTGAAAGTGTCTAACGTAGTAGTAGACGAAACGTCAGGCATAAAAAACCTGCAAACCACGGCCAAAAACCCCGGAAAATAGCTTTGACACAGTTTTTTATTTATGTTGTGTTTAATAATAGGTTTAAATTTTCTTATAATCGAGATATATAGTGTGAATACCCACTAAAAAAATTATTACCATGAAAGACCTTTTCAATTCGGGAAAATGAAAAGGTCCAAATTATTTGTATCTATATCTAAATATTTCATATTTTGCCGAAGTTGGCCATGAACTGTATTGTTTTAAATCATACCCGAAAGAAAATAACGCCGGCCGCCGCTGGTAGCCCTAAACCAGGCGTGAAGTGGCTAAGA